AATCACTCTGAGTCTCCTTTGGGGTTGAGAAGGGCAGTATACAAATACCGCAAATAAATAAAGAAGGGAAGGGTAGGGGGAATTCTCTAAATAAGAATTCTCCCCCATTTCATGAATTTAATTCATGAAATTTCCAACATTTCCAGTATTATATAGAATGAAACACAGGAAATTGTTTGTACCTAGAACTTGTATTTGCTATGTTCATATTCCATTAACTGCTTTATTCACCCCTTTTCTTTGGATGCCTGAATTGTATCTCTATGTACCCATCTATATGGTCTATGTGGGGAAGATTTTACTCACCTTGTAGCTGCCTTAATCCTGACACATGACAACTTTAGCAGTGAAATCATTTCTGTAAGGCTTTCAATGCAATATATCAAAACTCACTTTTTGTTCTGCAGTTTCCAGGAAAATCTAATCTGTTGCTGTCCTTTGTTATAAGTGTACAAGCTGGTTTGAAGTGGGGCAAGTATCCAGCGCATGTGCATGTTTAAAATCCTAAAACAACAGATCTGGGCTGTAAACAAATGGAGCCACAGATACACAGGTGGCTAAATGAAAGCACATATGGAAAGCAATTACAGTGAGAACTCTCTGCAACCATTCCTTTGTTCTCATCTTTATGAAATGAAACAGAGCTTGAATTTACAGTAGGGTGTGGAGAGATAATAAGAAATCTGCTTGTGTGTACATTTAGATATCCACATGAGCGCATATGAGGTCCAGTACATCTCGGAGTATCAATTTTTTTTTAAAAAAGCAATCTTCCACCAGATTTTTTTTTTTTGTCATGTCAGGAGTGACTCCTGGTGTGAGAGAATTGGCCGTTTGCAAGGACGTTGCCCAGGGGACGCCTGGATGATTTGATGTTTTTATCATCCTTGTGGGAGGCTTCTCTCATGTCCCCGCAAGAGGAGCTGGAGCTGATAGAGGGAGCTCATCCACCTCTCCCTGGATTTGAACCTGCGACCTGTTGGTCTTCAGTCCTGCCGGCACAGGACTTTAACCCACTACACCACCGGGGGGCTCCATTTCCACCAGATGTCTCCTGTCCATCTTACGGATTTCTAAAATCCACTACAAACAAAGGTGTCAGGATGGCGGGGGAAATAGTGGACTGGCAACTGATATTATTCAGGAGAATAGAAGATTACTAAATCTATTGAGGCAAAGAAAATTCTGATTCACAAAGAAGAGGGAATGGGAGAAGAACACATATAGAAAGAAATAAGACTTTGGACAATAATACAATTGCGATGAAGAAGATTGAAAGGACACAATTTTTTCCCCTTTTTTCTTTCCTTCCTTTCTTTTTATTTCCCTACCTTCCCTTATTACTATCTCCTTTATCCCTACCCTTTCCACCCTTTCCCATACTTTTTCCCTTTTTAACTATATCATGTATAAAGTATTTATAAGTAAAAAGAGAAAAACTAATAAGAATTATCTGGCTTCTGTAAATATTAGGGGCTAGCAGAGAAGGGATTTATTTTTCCTCAGCAACAATGCAAGCAGAGTAACAGCTGGAAACAGGGAAGTGAGATTTGGTGTGAAAAATAGCTGTTAATGATTTACATTGGTGTTAACTTTGTAAAAGAAAAGGGGATTATTGACTGAACTGCAGACCAGTTTCCGAGACTGAGAAAGAAAAAATAGAAAAATGATATAAGGCAAGCAATTGACCATAGGTACAAAAGAGTCAATGTAATATAGTCATGTACGTGTTGGAATATGACTCTGAAGAACAAAGCTTGGATGTCTGCTCACCCATGAAAATCCACGGGATGACCTTGAGCAAGTCAAACACTCTTAGTTTGAGGAAACCCTGTGATAGGTTAGGGTTCACATAGGAGCCCCCCCGGTGGTGCAATGCATTAAACCCTTGTGCCGGCAGGATAGTTCGAATTCGGGAAGCGAGGTGAGCTCCCATCTGTCAACTCCAGCTCTTTATGTGGGGACATGAGAGAAGCCTCCCACAGGATGGTAAAACATCTGGGTGTCCCCTGGGCAATGTCCTTGCAGATGGCAAATTCTCTCACACCAGGTTACCATAAGTTGGAATCAACTTAAAGACATACAACAACAACAAAAAAGAAAAAGGGAGGAAAGGACAACATTATAGAAGAAATAAAAAACACTGACCAGCTAAGAAGAGAAAAGAGAAAAAGGAAGAAAATATAGTGCAGACAACTGAAAATTGTAGATAAGATGTCCATGTTAGAAAAGAAATTGTCAAAACTTGCAGCACAAAGCTACGCTTGTCTATTCATAAACCCTACAGAGTTCAGGGGAGTTTAATTCACATACAAATGTACAAAAGATTGCTGTTTTAAACAAAGAGAAAAGTAATATTTGAATATGAATGCGAAAATTTAAAAAACATGCAAAGGAAAGTATATGGCATTGAAGGAATGAAAGTGTGGGCAATTTAGGTAATTTATACAATTAAATCAGTGAAAGAAAAGGAAGGCAAAAACTGTATAAAATCATGAACTCTTGGGTAGGGGTGTGAATGGCAACATGGTACACAAATGACTAAATATTCAACGTCAATTCAATTATGAAGTACAGCTGCAAGTGTGTTAAAAATAAATGTGCATCAGCAGGGCAGCATATACATTTTCTATAGATTAAATATACTCCTATGTTTGAAAGTGTATTGTTAAAGGAGGGTATCTTAACAATGACGAAGGCTCATGTGAATAGTAAAGGAAAAGAGAATGCTTTATATCAGCAAGGAAAAGTTTGTGAAATCTGTAATGTGTGTAACAAAGCACAAATATGTGTGCGAGAGCTAAAAATGTTATTTTAAAAAATCAAATGTGTGTTGATCAAACACAGCTAATTGGGAAAATCAATCATATTCAGAATACCAGTTTTCAAGTAGTAAAAAAGTATGGGCACTATTAAAACAATAGATTTCATCTCCCCAAGAAGTGGGGAGAGGAAACAGCATTTGTCTGCCTCCCACGAGGCAGGGAGG